ATTATATATCAGTTGACACATGCATCACATAGGGATCGCTTGGGCCCAAAAGAATTGATTGATGGGGTATTTTTCTAGCTTGACAGAGATCGCTTGGGGTTCACTTGGGCCCAATTTCGTTTCTTTAGGCCCCATTGGRCTATATTATAAAAGTTTAATTCCTATTTGTTTTTTCTATTTTTTACAACACATCCTCGTATTCCACACGGGGCACACAACCATAGGTACCCATTTTGAGTGTACCAATGTGGGTAACATGTTCTAACAAAATAATAATAATAATAATATTATTATTATTGTTATTATTATTATTATAATAAAACAATACTATTTTCCAATGTTCAATTATTCAATTTAATAGTTGGTTATTAATAATTATTATTTATTTTTTACAAATAATTACAATTAATCAATTAATTATTGAATGCTTAATTCATTAAATATTATTTAATTATCTGTAATTTGTTTCTCAATTCCACTATTTATTAATCATCTTATACTCATCTAATTAATTGTTAATTTGTTTATTGAATAGTTAAATAAACTTTCTCAAATTCAAGCATTTAAAAATCAAAACAATATTTTCTACATTTAGAAATAGTTAAATAAACTTTCTCACTTCATGTTAAAAACAAATTTTGTTCAAACCAGTAATAGGAGAGAGGAAATAATTTCTAAGAAGTGAATAATGTAGTTTGGTTCAATTTCATGAGAAGCAGAGACCTTATAATAGAAATAGAGGAATTTTAGGAAATGCATTTGATTCAAAAAAAATGGTCAATATATTCTCATTATCACTTTTGGAGAAAATCAATCTATGTTGTTGGAAAGACATGATATCAAAAGAGCTTTGATCATTTGACATTGTTTTACAAAATTCGAACATATATGAAAATTTTTTTATAAAAATAATTGGTAGGTCTCACATAAGAAATTTGAATATAATCCCACACGAAGATTGAAGTCTATTATCTAATGTTTTTCCATATTAGTGAATAGGCATTTCCAAAATATGTGGGACATATAACTACATCTCTTCCAGATTTGAACATATATTAAAATTTTGGTGGATCCTTCATGGAGATGAAGACCTATTATCCAAAGTATGTCTTTTTTTCAAAAAAAAAAAAAAAGTTTATCTTTATTAGCATGAATAGGTATTTTCAAAATATGTAGGACAGGTCCTGGTATTTCCGCCAAATTTTAACATATATGAGAAGTTTGAACATATTTCTGTGGCACTAAAACCCACATCTGAAATGAAATCTATACTATATTTTAAGATTTTAGGTTGAAAACTCTGGAGTTGTGCAATAACTAGATTTCCCATTTTGTCCTTTTTTTTTCGAGCTGGGAATTTTTCTTGAGAGGGTTAAAACCTAAAGTGGAGGGGGAAGGGGGAGAATATGTAAGTGGGGATTTATGGGCCCTAAAGCTCAGTTTGGAAGGAGTATAAATGCAAATATATAGAGTGCAAAACCTTATATTTTGTATTATTTTGTATATAGTTGCACTCCTTCGAAAGCCTAAAGGGCCATCCCCCTGGTCTCCCGTGGCTCCACCATTTTTACAACCATACCCATATTTCTCAGAGGTACCTTTCGGGTCACCCATGTGGAGTACAAGTTCCAATAACTTGTTAATAATAATAATAATAATAATTCTTTTTGGATATGGTTAATATAAAATGAAAATGAAATTATTATTAAAATATAATAAAAGGTTAAAATGTAAAAGATATTTTTAATTTTAATTATTTTCAATCATTTCTTATATTTTAATTCATTTCATGAAATTTCTATTTATATATTATTTTATTTTTTTAATAATTGATTGTTTACTAATTATTTATTATTTTAATAATTAATATTTCAAAATATTTATTACCCTATTAAAAATTTTATCGACGGATATGGGTGGTTGGTGGATGGATTGGTATTCAATAACCTGCACCAATCCGACCCAATCCATCCATTTTTCCACTCCTAAATGGTTTTTTTCGTCACCTTTTCCGTCTTTTAAATTGCCATCATCTACACCATCCAATCTACAAGCCCTCTATAGGATTGTTTCTGATCGCATTGACACGAAATATGATGATGTAGGTTGGGCTAAGCAAATGCAAGCCCAATAGCAACTGTAGAAACGCATACTAAGGTCCATTAATCAAATATATATCAAGCTGAACCCAACCCAGCGTGTTAATTAATTGCTAAAAATTAGGGTTATTCACATTCGATTAACTGAACCGTGGGTTTTTTTTTAACCGAATTGATCTGATTAGTTTTTTAAAAATCTAAACCGAAATTGAATCAATTTCGATTTTTCATTTTTTTATGTACTCAAAATTAAAAAAGAAAAAAGACAGAAAAACCTTCCCTCTTGTATCCCTAGTTTAACAAACATTCATTCATTCTAAAAATACAAAAAAAAATAAAATAAAAAATAAAAGAAATACTTGAACAAATACAACAGAGGGGTGAGGCGAAGTGGTGGCCGATGATTTGCTGGTGTCGAACTGGTTGGTGGTTATTGTCGCCTAAAGTGAGAGCATGAGAGGTGGCAGAGCTGCGGAGATGAGAGATGAGAGAGAGAGAGAGTGAGAGAGAGAGAGATAGTCAAAGAGAGAGACAAAGCTTGAGAGGTGGCGTGGCGGTCCTAGCAGAGCCGAGGTAGTGACCGACATCTTGGTTGTTGTAGCTGGGGCTGGCTAAGGCAATAGCTTTGGCTTGGTGCTTGCCAGCGAGGCAACGATCGGTGTTTGTTGCTTGGTTGTTGGCATGCGAAGACAGAGATGACAGGCGAGAGAGAGACAAAGAGACATAAAGCAAGGGGAAAACTGGCCTCTGGGGGAGAAGTTGTCGGTCGGAGGACAACTGACGCCAGAGGAAAGCAAGGGGAAGTTCGGTTAACCATTGGGGATTGGGGAAGACGAAGAGACAAGAGAGACTGAGAGAGTGAGAGAGGGTATTAGTCTATTAGGTTTAGGTTTCGAAGAAGGGGAAAGGGGGAAAAGGCGGACGGTCGGTTCGATTAACCGCTGGTTTTTTAAAAGGTTAACCGAAACAACATCAGAACTTTCGGTTTTTTAAGAATATCAAACCAAATGTGTGTGTGTGTGTGTGTGTGTGTGTGTATATATATATATGTATGTATGTAGGTATGTATGTATGTATATGCTGGTCCATTCAATTAACCACTGATTTTTTATATTTTTTATTATATATGATATAATATTTGTATGCTTATTATATATAATACTACACAAATTGAAAAAAAAAAACCCATGGTTAACCAAACCGATCGATTGATCGGTTAATTGATTGGCTTCGATTTTCATAATATATTATATTATAATAAACATAAAATATTATATATCATATATAATAAATAGTATATTATATTTTATATATAATATATATAATAAATAATATATTATATACAATATATAAAATATATTATTTATTGTATATGATATAATATTTTATATTTATTATATATAATACTATGAAAATTAAAAAAACCGGTGATTAACCAAACCGATTGACCAGTTAATTGATCAACTTCAATTTGATTTCGGTTACTGATTTTTAAAAAACTGATACAATTGGTTCTGTTTGAAAAAAGGCCTACGGTTTAATTAATCGAACCATGAGCACCCCTAATTACATGCTTACTTATCAACACATGGAAGACTGTAAGTATGCTTTGGCGTTGGATTGATTTGCAAAGGCTTAGACCCAATCAAGTTGGGGCCCAAAACCAACCTGTGGTTGTAAGAATTAAGAAGCTAAAGTAACCTGACCTAAAACTCAGCTATTGCTGTCAATGGATCAGGTTCTCACAGACCCAACTGATCTATTGGCATTTTTTATGGTGAGCACAGACACTTAACTGTAGTCCTAAAATCACATTATTTTGCATGGTTTTTAAAACTGATCCGGTGGTCGAATCGGTCAGGGGTCCAGTTACCGGTTCGAATGGTCCGATCATTCGATTTAAACGATCGACCCATTCTAACAAAAAAAAAATTGAAAAATGGTCAAAACTGTTCGAACGGTTCGAATGGTTAATTAGTCGATTCAGCAGTTTGCTAACCAAAATCAATGGTTTTGGAGAAAAAAAGCGATTTTGGGGAAAAATGGAACCGATGACCGGTTCCCAATTTTTCCGATCCAACCGTCCAGTGCAGTCCAGTTTTGAAAACCATATTATTTTAGCTTTTTTTTTACTTGCTTGGGAATGCCTAACTTGCGCTCAAACTAGATCAAGAAGTGGTGGTTTATTTTGGTTCCTTTCTGTTAAAATTTGTAGTATAAACAGAGGTATTGATGTCCATAATCACTGCACACCAATAGGTTAGTCAGTGAGTTGTTYATTCACAAAATGTCACCTTGTTGTAGCAGTTAAATTCTATGCTTTAGGTGGCATTCAGTAGCATTAAACTGGCCTTTGAACCCTAATGGGCTGTTCTCCGATGTGAATAATTTTTCTTGTTATGAATTCCAAGAAAGAAAACGAAGCCAACTGGTTTAAAAACAAGTTTGTTCTAAACCCAGAAAAAAAAAAAAAAAAAAAAAAAAGAACATGTATTCGTTTGGTTATTTAATATCATATCCCATAAATCATTTTCCTAATGTACAATTTCAAAAATAAATGAAAACAAAATCATTACACCCCCTAAAATCTTTTTGAGATGTTAGGTGGTTGTTTGGTTAAGCATCCAAACGTACCTTTGAATTTTGAAAATTCCTCTAAAATTCACAAATGTTTGACTCACCTCGAAATAAATTCAGCACTAAACTAAATTAAGAGATTAATTGGACAATATTGTCTTCCAACAAGGAAATTCTCAATAGGTATTCTGATCGAGTTCCAATTTATTACACAAACTTTAAAATGCGATACCAGAATTTTCATTTTGTTACAATTTATTACCTTGCGTTAATTACTTAAGTTACAAGAAGACGACTTGTTGTCGTCGCTGGAACATTGTTGCGTCCCCTATTTTATTCCGTCGTTGCTGGAGAAGACTTGTTGCCGGCGCCGGAAGAGACAAATAGGGTATTTTTTTTTGCTATTGTTTTCTATCATGTTCTTTCTCCAGCCAACGGAGGCCGAAGTTGGAACGTCGGAACGCCGTGAAGAACATCGACTACGATATCTTCTCCCCTTCGTCTTCGTCACCACCTAGTCATCTCTCCCCTTCTCTCCGCTGCTACTCGCTCCCTCAAAATCTTTTCTATCACCAACAAGACTAGCTTCCGAATCGAAGGCACCGATGAGCTCAACCAAATTTGCCCTAAGAGAATCCCAGATGAAAGAAAATATTTGCGTTTTCCGGAGGCCGATAACCGGAGGTTGCCGAATGTGCTTGCAGCGAGAAGTTTCGGACCATCTTCGCAAGGCCGGTTACGACTGTGCCATATGCAAGTCCAAGTGGAGGAGCTCTCCAGACATCCCATCAGGTATGCATGATTCCAACTTCCGTCTCAAAAATTATGGAACTTGATGATTTTAAGCAGAGTTTGATCAATTGAAGAACTGTGGTTCACTCTATTTTCACCTGGTTGCAGGAGAACACACCTACTTGGATGTGCTGGAGAAAAGTCCTAAGAAGGGGGAGGTGAGAGTGGTGATTGAATTGAATTTCCGGGCTGAGTTCGAGGTGGCAAGAGCAAAGGATGAATACAACTGGTTAATCAACCGGCTTCCCGAAGTTTTCGTTGGAAAGGCTGAAAGGCTAAGAACCCTAATCAAGATCTTGTGTTCTGCTGCTAAGGAAAGGAATGCATGAAAGAAAACAAGATGCACATGACCCCTTGGAGGAAGCACAAGTGCATGCAAGCCAAGTGATTCGGGCCGTGCGAACGAACCACGCCGGCTCCATTGTTTCCGGTGGGATCTTCTGACCGGACGGCAAAGCCAAGAGTGTCGATGCTAAGGTTCGACTTGCTAGAGAAATTGCCAAACCTACACTGTACAGCGGTTGAAGTTGTGTGATTCAGAGATCAAAACTCAGTTGTGTTTCCTTTCTTACTTGTATCACTTTGAAGCTTACAGTATATTCTCCTCTGTAAATTTCGGAGAGAATAAAAATACAAATATGTATAGAAGGATAAATGAATTAATCACAGAAACAAGTTTTGTTTATTTGTCGCCTTTTTTTTTCTTTGTTGTAATACTTGAGTTTTGTTGTTTGAGATTGGTGTTATAATCAAACGCAGATGATTTCGGAGGAAAGAGACCTGTGACATCTGTTTACTTCGAAACATTTAATGGTGGTTTTGATCTTTTAGCATATTCTTCTAGTTAAATGTTGTAAATTTATTAGTTGCAGCAGTGAAGCTGCGGGAATTTTCAGAACTTGGCCACTTTATTAACTTGTGTTAAAATTTTAAGATGATTAATAATGAGGGCGGATTGGGCCCTGCAATGATATTATGATATTCTCACACCCGGAATCATTTAGGTAACAATTTGCTTTAGCCAAGTTGATGGTGTCTCACCTAGCGATCTGGTCCAGGTGCGAACTGGTGGCCCGGACCAGGCGCCGACCTAGCGGCCTGGCCCAGGTGTCGACCTGGCGGCTTAGCACGAGCGCGACATGGCGGYCTGGCACGAGCGCCGACCTGGTGGCCTACGAGATGTGCTCGCCAACAAATTCGGCATGCATATCCTAACACTCCTACGATCCTTGGAAGTTGGCCCACGTGTCGAATGATCTGGAGGGTGGTCAACGTGCATGGCGGTTGCCTCAGGGAATCTCGAACCACTTAGACGACTTCTCA